AGGAAAGCGGTTCTGGTAAGCAGAGATGATTATCAATTGATGTGGCATAGCAGCCATCTTGTGATTAGCGGGAATGGTGTTGTGGGGATCTGCAGCATGACTTATCCTCGGGTATCTGGCTTCCCTAAGAATGGTAGGGTAGTTCCTGTTCTTCCCTGAGGTAATGCAGGGCTAGCAGCCATCATCTTCTTACTGTCCATAGGTAGAGAAAATCCTTCTATACAGTATATTTCTCAATTGGTTTAAGACAGCTAAAGATTCTTTCTGTTGCTTATGGTTGCAAGTTCTTAATCCTTGTTTTCGGCTTCAGCTTGCTGGCCCTGAGGCCACATGTCCGCCCCAGAGGGGGGGCCGCTCGGGGCGGCACCGCAGCGTGGGGGGGGTGTTTTTTTTTTTTTTTTGAGAAGTTTTTGCTACAGGGCACGTTTGCTCGCCAGACAGAGAGAGAGACAGAGAGAGAAAGTGAGAAATCACCCCCCCAGGGGGGATGGCCACACCACAATCCCTTCTCCATTCTCCTCTCGGGATCTTGGGCATGCATGCACACCCGCCCAGCGTGAGTTTAAGCCACTGGGTCCGCGACATGAACCGCGGTCGACTACCTGGGAGTCCAGCGACCATCCCAAGTCTATTGTTTTCTGATATCAGTATAGCTACATTAGCTTTCTTCTGCTTACTATTACAAAGTACCTTCTTTCTTTATTCTTTTACTTGGAGTTTGTCTTTGTATTTTAAGTGGAGCTCCCGACAGCAAGTAGTTCAGCTTTGCTTTTTATCTAACACAGTCTCACTCATCTTGTGAGTGTTTTGTCTATTTACATTTAATGTATTTGTTCAGCTACTTGATATTGTCCTTGTCTCTTTGCCTCTGAAACTGTTCTTTTGTTTGTTTTTTCCACCCTTGTTTCTCTCTGTTCTTAGACTGGGTAATTTCTACTGCTTTCTCTTCAACTTCATAGATTCTATAATCTCAGCTCTGCTTTTAAGCCAGGGTTGTGACTTTTTTTTTTAATAGTTTTCTCTGTTGAAATTCCCTGTTTATTCACTTATGAATGCTACATTTTTCTTTAATTCTTTGGGAATATTTATAATAACTGCTTTGTAGTCTTTGTTTGCCAAATCCAACCTTAGGCCTACTTTTAGTGTTTCTATTGATTCATTTTTCTCCCCAAGTAAGAGTCACATTCTGCTGTCTCTTTTCATATCTAATAATTGGACATGTAGATAATTTGTATTAATGACTCAGAAGTACTTTGCTTCTCTAGAATCTGCTTTAATTCTGATTAGAATGGAGGTTTTCGTGTTTGAATAGACAGCTTACCTGGACTCATTGTAAAGTCTGTCTCCTCTGTGGAATCCAGGAACCAAAGTCTGTGCTCAGTTTTCTCAGCTTCTAGGTATTTCAGCTCTGTGGCTTTTTTTCCAGCTTGGTATTCTGTGGGAGTTTCCCCTGTACCTGTATAATATAGAGATCACAAAAGGATTTAGGCAGTTTATGCTCTTATTTGGGACCTCATTCTTTGTTGTTTCCTTTAAAATATTTATTATAGAGCACCTGTGCTCACCAGAGAAAGAAAGGAAGAAAGGGCAAGTGAGAAAGCACCCTCTGGAGAATGGACATGCTGCAGTCCCTTCTCTATTCTCCTCTTAGGATTTTGGACATGCACACACAAGTGCCTGGTGTGTTTTTCAAGCTGCTGTGTCCAGGACTTAAACCGTGCAGTCAGCCATGTGGAATTCACTTGTCTTAGCCTCTGCGCACTAGCTGGCCCTGGGACCTGTTGATTCTGTGGTTCCATTTCCAGTTGCCCTTCCATCTCTGGCTCTCACCTCTGATACCTAACGCTATGACGGCCTCTGCTTTCTGCCCTGTGTTCTTTGTGCGTGCCGCATGCTCAAAGGTGAAGCTAACCTGGAAGTTTCACCAGGAGAAATTCTGTCTTCTTAGTTTCATCTCCTGTAAAATCAAAATGCCAAGTATTGATTTGAGAATTAAATGGGATGATACAGGTAAAACACAAAACAAATACCCAACAAAGTATTAGCTTCTCATTTCTATTTTGTTGTTGTTGTTCACGTTTTGTTGGTGCCACTGGTGGGACTGGTGGTGGTGGTGGTTTAGAGGTTCTTATATCCATAAATGAGATATGGGTTCTAGTATAAATAAAAACTTTGTTTCTTTTTATGACTGCATAATATTTCATTGTAATATTTTATAGTAATATGATAAGTTTGTTTAGATAGCCTTTTTTTGGTAAAATATACCAAGTTAGAGATTTCAGAATTAAACTTCTTAAAAAATAACCTTTGGTTTTTTCAAGAATTATTTTATTTAACTTTATTTATTTATTTATTTTAATTTGACCAAAGAGGGACAGAGTGCATGTGTGTGTGTGTGTGTGTGTGTGTGTGTGTGTGTGTGTGTTTGTGTGTGTGGCCGGGGGGTAGGGGGCAGTGTGTGTGTGTGTATGTGGGGGGGAGTGAGAAAGCAAGTCAACAGGCCTGGGACTCAAACCGTGCTCAGCCATGTGAGAGTCCAGTGCCCTAAACCACCATGCCACCTGCCAGCCCCAGAAAAATAACCTTTAAACAAAGTAAATAAAATATTTGTTTGTTGGGGCACCAGCGGGTTATGGTTAAGGCACTGGTTTCACACATGGCTGACTGCAGTTTTTGAGTCCTGGATTCAGAGCTTGAAAATCACACTGGGTGCAGGGACCAGCAGTTAGTGTAATGGCTATGTTGCTGGACTCTCCCACATAGTCGACCGCAGTTCGAGTCCCGGACCCGGTGGCTTAAACTCATGCCGGGTGCGTGTGCATGCGTGCCCAAGATCCCGAGAGGAGAAAGGAGAAGGGATCGCAGCATGGCCATCCCTCCTGGGGGGTGATTTTTCGCTTCCTGTCTCTATGTCTCTGTCTCTCTGGTGAGCGCACACGCCCTATAGCAAAAACCTCTCCAAAAAAAGGAAAAAAAGAAATCACACTGGGTGCATATGCATGTGTACCCAAAATCCCAAGAGGAAAATGGAGAGGGGTTGTGGCATGGCCATCCCTACTGGGGGAAATGATTTCTCACTTTTCTTCTCTCTAGTTCAGTTTCTTTTCTTTTTTAAGAGAGATTTTTACTATAGGGCACATGCGCTTGTCAGGGAGACAAAGAGACAGAAAGCGAGAAATCACCTCCCAGGGGGGGATGGTCACACTGCAGTCCCTTCTCCTCCATTCTTTTCTTGGGATTTTGGGCACATGTGCACACATTCCTGGTGTCAGTATTAAGCCGCTGGGTCCAGGACTCAAACCACGGTCAGCTATGTGGGAGTCCAGAGATGCAACTATTAGGCCATTTGCTGCTAGTCCTTCTCTAGTTTCTTTTTCTTTCTTTCTTCCTTTTTTATTTTTTTAAGATTTTTGGTATAGGGCGCATGTGCTCACCAGAGAGACAGAGAAAGACAGAAAGCGAGAAGTCATCCCCGGGGTGTGTGTGTGTGTGTGTGTGTGTGTG